ACTCTGTGTTGGAATAAGAGGGAAAGAAAAGCCCGTTTTTTTTACATCCAGAAGAGTTTTATCACTCATCTTTTTTAGGATCTTTTATTCTGATTGGTCTGAGCAAAGTTAAGAGTAGAAAAGGATTCCCAGGCATATCAGTTTTTTTTTTTTATTGGCAGAATGGACAGAAAACAAGGAGAAAATTGGGAAAAAAATCAATAAATATCTTCTTTCTCTGAGGGAAAATAAGCTTTTTGGATATGGAGCTTTGGATGTGGATCATTACAGGTGATTAACTGGTGAAATGGAAAATATGCCAGTCAAAACAATGTTTTCATTGGTGTAGAATCAAGTGAAAACTCAAATTCTTGTGTTTTAATTCCTTGAAATGAAGCAGTTTGTATCTAAACTGTTGTGTTTTAGGGGAATAAGTGAGTGTGTGCTCAATATTCTCAATATTTCCCCATTTTTATCGGTCATTTTACTGACTTTCTGCATGTCATCCACAGCACTTCTGCTTATTCTTATTTGGGGGTTTCTGTCTTCTCTCGGACTTCCTCCCACCGTGCAAAAAACACACAAAAAAAACACCTTTGGCTAATTGGGGACCCAAAATTGACCTTTTTTTGGCTCTGTGCTGATGGACTGTGACCTGGACCTGGACTCCGGCCCCTTTTAATGACCCTGAATCGCTTTAAGCGGATGTGGGCAAAGACCCAAACTGTACATATGAAAGGATAAAGGGAATTTAACTCAACTCACTTTTAATTAAACGTTTCCTCCGGTCATTGATTCAGAGGCAGTTTTACGACACCTTTGGCTAAAAAGCGCCATAAATCCGCATTTCAAAAGGCCTTTTCTAACCTAAAAGGGGAATCTCTCTAAATACTTGGAGTTTTAACTAATGAAAATGGGCCACAGGCCCCCCGAGGGACTAAGAGGGAACCCCAAAGTCAATTATTCCCCACTCAGAAGCAGACGGGCTTTATATCCCAGATCCTGTTTGTTAAATTAAATGCTTAAATCTGTGTGTGGAGGCTGCTGTTTTTTTATTATTTAATCTTTTTCCACCTCGGAGTGTCTTTGTTGCCGTTTTACATCTTCTAGATCAGTGTTTTTCAACCTTTTTTGAGCCAAGGTACATTTTTTCATTGAAAAAATCACCAACCAAAAATGTTAAACAAATTTGTAGCCGCCTATGGTAACACTATAGTTATTCTTATTTTATTCTTATCTTATCCTAAGTGTCTTGAATAGGAATCAAATAAAAACAAAATGTATTTTTTTTATCATATTTTATATTTCTTCTTTCAAATTGCACTTAACATGTCCACTCCAATATACAAAATTATATACAAAATCTAGTCATAAGGATTTATTACATGATTACGCCACCAGTCACTAGAACAGCACAGACACTCAAAAATGGCATATTATTTGCAGATAATTAATTCCTTATCTAAAAATCTTTTTAGACCAATTAGGTGAAATAGGATGATTTTCTACGGCACACCTGACCATCACTAACGGCACACTAGTGTACCGAGGCACAGTGGTTGAAAAACACTGTTCTAGAGGATGTTTTCAGTCCTTTGTTGCTCATAATTTGATTTTACTTCTGTATTTTTACTCCTCTATGTTCGTTTCTTCTCTTTATTGTCACTTTTTTTATCATTAACTCGTTGACTGCCAAAGACGTCTATAGACGTCTTTTATGTTTTTCAACGAGAGTGTCTGGGGGACGATCTGCTAAAGCTTGTCCGTAAATATCGGCTTCTAGACAGAGTATGTAGTAACAAATTGACCCTCTAGGGGGCAGTGCCACTTTTGATGGGAGATGAGCATAGACTGTAGGCAAATAAGAAAAAGGTAACGGTTCGCTATGAGAGAACATGTCACCGGTGAGACGCAAGTCGAGGAAGAACGGAATAAGGTAGAAACAAAAATTTTTTCCTGATGAAAGAATAGAGTCTACTCTTTCTTTTGGTGTGTTCGGTGTTTCCATAGTCATAGCACAAACTATTCTGTGGCTCTTGAAAAATCAGTCAAAATGCTCAAAAAACTCTGGCAGTATGGGACTCTGTTCTGAAAATGGCTGGCAGTCAATGAGTTAAGGTGGTTTTTTGGGGTTCTTTTTGTGTTGCACAGTGTTAAATGGAGACCCCCAGAGGAGGTTTTTCCCAAAACAGGACTCTCTCTCTGGTCGGCCATCTTGTCTCCACACGCCCGGCGGGCATCGGGTTTCACCTTCCAGGTGATCGGGGTTGGCTCTTTTTTTCTGCACTCTGCTGGGATTGTGATCTGTTTTGTGTTGTGTTTTCAGGCCCGCCGCACCCTGCCGAGGATCGTTCATCTCCTAATCCTCCCAGACACACTCGGGTTTTGTTGACGGAGTGAGAGTTTTAATTACTGGAGTGGTGCCTCGCAGACGTGTGTGTGTGTGTGTTTGTTTTCATGATATATCAGGACAATTTTGTGAATACAGACCTTCAATATCAGGACGCGTAGAAATATGAGGACACTTTTCATGTCCTCATTTTTCTGAGCATACTAGAGTGTTCTAGAAGCCCCAAAATACCTCTAAACCAAATATCTCTATTGTCCTAAGAACCTTTGGAAAGCCACCTAAACCATCCATCCATCCATCCATCCATAAGCCACCTAAACATTTGTCCTATTTCTGTCATGTGTCCTTGTATATAATGAAAACACGTATGTGTGTGTTTATGTGTGTGTATATGTTTAAATGGCTGCCGAAGACCGAAACTGATCCCAAAAATTCCCTCTGAAATAAAGATCAATAAAGGTCAACAGGATGTTGCTGCCACTCTCATCATCCCGCTCATTTCCCCTCAAGTGTTTACGACCTTTTTCTTTATTGGTGGAGTTTTTTGACTGTTGATTAGTGTTTTTTTTTTGTCATGTTACCTAAAATAGTAGGTAAAAGTGGTTCGTTTAATCAGATATTTAATTTGACCCACTTTTTTTCCCAACTATATCTATTGATAATTTTTTAAAACAATAACATACAGAGTACAAAGTATAAAGATGACACATTTAGTGGTACAATTGTATGTAAACAGCCCAAAACAACGCCCAGCAACCCCCACCCCACCTTGACAAGCCTTCTTGACCAGAAAGACAGAACACACAGGGAGAAATATATAAAAATAGACAATAAATAAAAATAACAAAATAGAAAATCAGAAGAAAAAAAAAATAAATAAATAAATATATATATATATATATACTGTATAAATACATATATATACACATCAGAACACCATCAACACATAAACAAATAAATACATAAATAAGCAAATAAATAAATAAATAAATAAATAAATAAATAAATAAATAAAACACCCTCTCTCCTACTCAACCCCCAGTTCTTGAGAATTATAATTAAGAGATTCTGTGCGTCGTAGAAAAGGGTCCCAGGTGGAATTGAATGATTTCACAGAACCTTTAAGTGAAAATCTGAGTTATTTGACCCACAGTTTTATGCTGAGATGCTCCACAAAACCTTGGCTTTAACACACAGAGATAAACTTTAAGTCAACAGTGGCAAAGAGGCCGGTATCTACAAGCCCAGAAGGCGAGTGTGTGTCTGATTTCAAAAGAAGAACCGTGAAGAAATAAATATGGCTCAGCAAAAACATGACGCACACAAAAATAATATGGTCGTATAATTACTGTCTGTGTTTACAACGATAAATAGGAAATTTTGAAGGGCAGCCACTTAGGATTAGGTTCCAGGAACCAGGGCTTTTAGGCTCTCAGTAGTGATATTAAAATTAATTATTTGATTTTTTTCATTATTAATCAAGTATTTTTTTATTATAATTCAGTCATACAAATATTATTTTCTATTTTTTTCATTAATATAAATATTAAATTATATAATGTATAATAAGGTTGTAATTATATTTTATTCAATTCATTCAAAATGATCAATTTATATTAAAATTCAATTTAAAATGCTAGAATCAACAAGGTTTTGAGCACTAGTTTCTACACTGTTTTGCAGAAACGACCCAGATCATCATCCCTCCCCCACCATGCAGCTTTGCAGACCTGAGCCGAGCTGTTTTTCTAGAGAAGAGGCCCAAACAAACAAGCCCTACCTGATCCGTCTGTTTCTGTCCTGACCTTTGACCTGCTACCGGAGGCCTGCAGACTCTCTTTGGTTTTTTCCCTTCAGGTGTCTTTGTTGGGACTTCCTGAATGTTTCCCCCTGTGAGTAATCTTTCTCCCTATAGGACGATGGACTCCAGGTAGTTTCAAATGAGCTCATAACCTCTCAGGTTGATGATCAGAGCACGGGATGCTGCTCACAGTCCTGTTTTCTCCTTTGAGGTGCTTCCCTCCAGTGGTGAAACGCTGAATTTTATTCAGAGCCAGAAACTTTTACCATGGCTGAAATTATGTTTGGCTGACTAGAAGAATAAATCACATTGTTACAGGAACGAGTCATGGATAAAAAATCTACTCTACATAGAGGTTCTCACTGTAAGCAACAACATAAACTAACAGAAATCTTTCATTTATAAAGGTCCGTCCATTATGTTCTGCTTCTTTGAGATCAGGTAACACTCTCATACTCATTCTGAGGAAAACTTGGGTATTTCCTTTTTATTTAATGCTTACAGGATGTTGGTATGGATGGATGTCCTTAAACACTTTATTGACACATTATTACAACACATAAATTAACATTAACAGACATAGATTATACAGTTTAGCATCACTAAAGTAAACATACTACCCAAAAAATGCAGTATTCAAACACTAAATACTGAAATAAAATAGAATTTATTTAAAAGAAATACATTGTTGTCTGGTGCAAAAACGTATTAGCACAATTCTTGCATTTTAAGTGACTTTGTATGTTTGAAATATACTGTTAATTTTAGAAAATAAATAATAGGAAATAAGTAAATATATATTAGACCAAAGACTCTTTAAAATGCATGATGATATATGATTATAGGCTTAAAAATATTTTAAAAGGCTGCATCAATAGTGAGCAAAGTGAAGCACGATATAAAGAAAGTGGTTTATAAATAGTTTATTATAATTTGTTTTCTAATTTTGGTCGAGATCTTTAGAATTATTGTGGCAGCGATGAATATGTTCGATTTCTCGTTCATTAAAGGGTGCATTTATCCGGAAATGGTGAAAGTAAAAGCTTCCCTCGATGTCGTCTCTGCGACACAACATTTCCTGTTTTATTTTGAAGGCGGACGGCTCACTTCCGGTACCGGCCCTTCTTTCTCCCTAACCTGCGCCATCTTGACTCCCGGGAGCAGGTAGCCAACGGCCGTTAGGAGCTGCTCGCGCGGCCCCTACGGCAGTTGACCGTTTTTTTTCCTCTCCTCTCCCGCGGCGGAAACATGGCCCTCAGCGGCCTGGAGAGGGCCCAAGTGTGGCTCTCCAAGGCGGTGACGGGGGTCCTCCTCATCCTCCTCCGGTTCCTGTCCCGGGGGAGCCCCGCGGAGACCGGGAAGAAGCTCCCGCCCGTCCGCGACCCGTTGCTGCTCGTCCCGGCGACGCAGCTCGCCAAAAAGATCCGGCGGAAGGAGGTTAGTTCCCCCAGAAAAAAAAAAAAAAAAAAAAAACGGGGACCCGGAAATTTAACCGTGCTGAGGGGTCCCACAGACTCCCTGTTCTCTTTTATCCGGATAGAAATAAACCAGAAGCTGTTAGCCGGTCAGTTTATGATAGTATCTGACAGTTGGGAAACCTGTAATTAAAGCTACACGACCCGGTTTCTGTCAACGGACATTTTTTATTTAAATCTGATAAAATACAGGTTCAGGGGCAGACTAACACCTGTACAGGTACTTAAACAGGTGTGTTTTACTGAAGGTCAACACATAAACTGAACTTTACACCGGGGGGGGGGAGTTATTGTAGTGCAAAAACTTGTTGTTATAAATATGACTCAAGCAAAAGAAATACTGGTTTCCAGTTTGGAGAATCTTTTGTTGAATGAAGGCGTGATCTTACCTCTTTAGTAAAAGGATCATTAACGGATTAACTGAGGATAAAAAGTTGATTTGCACTCACAAACGTAAAGAGACTTGTAATTACATGCTTGTTGAGAGGTCACCTGTCGTCTGAGGTGTGTTTTCCAGGTGAATGTGACTAAACATAATCTAATATTTGTGTCTGCAGGTATGTGTTAAAACTAATATAAACTATGTGTGCCTGCAGGTGTCCAGTGTGGAGGTGGTGCAGGCCTACATCAACCGGATCCAGGAAGTGAACCCCTTTCTGAACGCCGTGGTTAAAGACAGGCACGCTTTTTCCTCTTATCTCCTCTTTTTACGGTGACCTCGAACTGCTCTTTCCATCCATAGATTGCATCTTCCTTTATTCCGTCCCAGTTACAGTTTAAACTCTTATGTATTATCTGAAAAAACAAAAACAAAATGGCTGATTAAACAGAAAACAAAACGGCTGGTTAACCCTGTAATGCCAAATGTATCATATTTGATCCGGACGGTTTCTGAAATGTTTTGCGTCTGACACCTTTTGCATAATTTAATGGTAAAAACTTTGCTCAAAATCCTATTGTACACAATCAGATATACCTGATGACAGCCAGTAGAAGACTACACAAAAAATAATCTTGACTTATCGCATAGTAATAAATTATTAATAGTAGAAATGTGTTTGTTTTTTCTTTTTACATATTTTGTTAAAAGGCCAAATGAAGACTTCGAAACAAAAAAAAAGTAATTTTCTGTTTTGTTTTATTCTTGGATCAGGCTTTAAACGGTTAAACAGAAAAGAGAACCAGAGTGTGTTTCTTTCTCTGTCCAGGTTTGCTTCCGCCCTCCAGGAGGCGGCTCAGGTGGATAAGCTGATTGAGGAGGAGACCGGGGGAGAGGAGGTGCTGGAGGACCGGCTGCCTTTGCTGGGAGTCCCTCTGTCCGTTAAAGAGTCCTTCTCCCTCCAAGGTACCTCCAGACATTTATTTATTCGTTTATTTGATAGGGACAAGTATGTTTCATGAATCATGTCACACACTACAACATTTTAGCTGAGGCTAATTCTCAATGCCTGTCCCCAGTTAGGCTTTTACACAAAACACAGTGACTGTACACAAGGCACAACAGAAGAAATTACACACTAAAACATCACAGATACAAGATCAGGTCAGTTAATAGGTGAACAAAACCCACTAGGACCCCAACCAAACCCACCAGGACCCCAACAAAACCCAACCAAACCCACCAGGACCCCAACAAAACCCA